AGATTGATGGATTGTTTTCATTGAGCTTCTGTAGGCGGATTAATGTAGTATAGGACAGATCCAATATTTACTGCTAGTGTTAATAATCTGAGTGAAGCACTGAACTGCAATGAACCCAAGTTTATTTCTCACCATTATCTGGCAACCTCAAAATCTTCTTTGTCACAGCTGAGCTTTTATTTGTTTTTTTGTTTTTTTTAGCTGCTCTTTTCCCAGGGTGGTATGATCTAACACCATACATCTTTAATGACCTTAAAAACAAGAACTGGGTGCACAAGAGTTCATTTAAATCGTCTGATTTCCTTGCATGAACCTGCCTTTTAAGTGTGGTCTAAAACTTTTTCAGTAGGGTTGAGGTCAACCCCTTGGGAAGGCCAGTCCAGAAGCTTAATGTTAGCCTGCTTTAGCCATTATAAAACACAGTTGCTTCTAAGTTTTAACCGTTTGGTTGTTGAGGTGAAGGTTAAAAACTTGGAGGTTGTCCTCAGTCTTCATTGTTCCGTCCACTTTGTGCAATGTATCAGTACCAGTGGCACCACAACAGCCCCAGAGCATGATGTTGCCACCACCATGCTTGACACTTGGGACATTGTTCTTCGGTTTGAAAGCCTCAACTTTACTCGTCCTAACATACCTCTTGTATATGTGTTATAATTGCTCAATCTTTTTCTTATTTGAGCATAAAAAATATTCTCCATGAGATATTTGGCTTGTCCATGTGGGCTGCTGTAAATTTCAGTTGAGCTAGAGGATGTTGATTTTGGAGCAAGTTTATATCTCTTGGGTTCATCAAGTTAAAAAACACTGTAGAACCTTCAAAGATTTAAGTGACCCTGTATGTATCATTCACTCGTTAAAGATGATATTCATGCCCATGATGAATGTATGAAAACTTTTAAACCACAAGGGTGACACCATTTTTCTGTCCCACAGTATCGGTCCTTGGTATATATGGTGTACGGCCTGCTTGCTGTGTGGACCAGCATGGGCTGGACCTATGTCACCCTCATCCTCTCCCACTGTATCCTGCTCTACAGCATCTCTTTAGTGAAAATCCGCTGGCTTTGCTTCGTCACTGGTCTTTGTACGCTGGCTACATTCAAGTGTGAACCCTTCATTTCCTGGCAGGTAAGCTGCTGGCACCCAAACACCTCAGTGTATTGTCTATACATTTCTCATGGTCGATTCCCCATGTCTTCTCTAAACAGGCAGGTTTTGTGGAAGGGGACTTTGAGTTGCGTCCTGTTTTCTTCTATGGAGGATGTGGGTTTACAATCATGCGTTGTATGAGTTTTGCTCTGGAGAACTGTGAAAGAAAAGATGGCAACTACAACATCTTGGAGCTGCTCAAGTACAACTTCTACCTCCCTTTCTTCTATTTCGGGCCTATCATGACTTTTGATAAATTTTATGTTCAAGTAAGTTGAATTTGATTCTTTACAAGTTACAAAATTATTAAGTATAAGGATCGTGTGACCTAAAATTGATGGTTTCTTTTACTTTACTTTACTGTTCATGAAGATATTTAGAACACACAATCAGTAAAACCATCAGTAAAAAAAAATCTGACGTTTAAAATATCCCTAAATAACAGGGCCTGTTGTCTGCAGAGGCTGAAAGTTTCTGGCTTTCTCCGTAGTTGTGACGTGTGTTTGCTGCCCTCTGCAGGTCAACAGGTGTGACCTTACCAGGAAAGAGCGGGAGATGTGGAATATCAACCTGCACGGTGTGATCCACCTTATCGTCATCATTGTAGTGGACATCCTTTTCCACTTCATGTACATCCTCACCATCCCCACTGACTTGAAGCTGATGAAGCACCTGTCTGACTGGGCTCTAGGTCTGTGCCACTTCACGAAAATTCCCGTTTTAATATTTTTAAACCCAACGGCATGCAAAAAAAGCACAAATGAAGACTGAACATTAACATATAATTAAAAGCTTTGACTTTATGCAAACAAACATTAACATGAAAAATTTCCAGTTTTAATTTCAATTATTTGAGATGAAAGGAAACTTGCAGCAGAACTGATGTCACTGCATTGTTTCCAGTGGGGCTGGCTTACTTTAACCTGGTGTATGACTGGGTGAAAGCAGCTGTGATGTTTGGAGTCATCAACACGGTATCCAGACTGGATCACCTTGACCCTCCTAAACCACCAAAATGCATCACCATGCTCTATGTGTTTGCTGAAACGTGAGTGAGGCTTGAACACATGTGAGTGGTTCCAGGCGTACATGTGGTATAATTCTATAGTACTAAAGCTGATTTTGTTTTGTAGTCACTTCGACAGAGGGATCAACGATTGGCTGTGCAAGTGAGTGTCTCCAAAAGGCCACCAATATTAAAGTCATGTTAATCATTTGAAAAGCAAAGGTTCTGATGAAGCTCTAATCCACAGGTATGTGTATAATTACCTGGGTGGAAAGCACGAGAACGTGGTGGAGGAGCTTGTGGCTACACTGTGCACCTTCGGCATCACCATCCTCTGGTTGGGACCCTGTCAGGTGGTCCTGGTCTGGGCTTTCCTGAACTGTTTTGGTCTCAACTTTGAGCTGTGGACAGGCAAATTCTTCTCCGTGGAGCCATTTAGCTCTTTTGAGGTTGGTTAGATGAGTTTGTTTGTACACATCAATAAGCAGTTTATAAAGGATAAGGGATTTAATGTGCATGTTGTATATAAATATGATTTGCAGATGGCAATGTCAGAAGCGATGTCTCGGCGCATCAGAGCCATCTTCAACACTTTTAACTTCTGGAGCATTGTGTTGTACAACGTTCTGGCCTTGAACAGTTTGGACTTTGCAAAGTTGGTTGCCAAACGGCTGCTTCTAAAAGGTGATTTTGGTTGTTAATTATGAGGCAACTTTGCCATTTCTTACCAGCTTATTAACAAGGAATTACCTTCCCAGGCTTCCCCATAACCACCATCATCGTCATGTTTGTGACCTACTGTCTGATTCAAGTGATCAAGGAGCAAGAGAGGAGACAGGCACTCATAGACGATCCCGATCCACTCCCACCGGCACCGCCTCCAAACGCTGCCACCAGTCCTACCACCTCTGCAACTGCACCCACTGCTGCTCAGCCGGTCACAGATCCCAGCAAAGAAAAAGCAGAGTAGATATTTAATTTTTAACGAATGGTTACAATGATGAAAATTGTGAGTTCTGTCCAAATGCTAACAGTATTATGAGTTTGAATGGATGCAGACAAGCTCGCTGTAAATAAAATTTTAAGTATTTTTACCTAAGGGAGAATTTAAAACTTAATGAAAAAAAATTACAGTAAATGAATATTTACTGTAACATATTGTGAAGTTCACCTGTATACTAACCAGGACTAACAATAAAACTACATTGTCGGGACTGTGATTGGTCTAGAGCAAAAGTAAAGATTAGTGAAAACATTTGTACTTTGTGTGTTTATGCAGGTTTTTGTTCTCTCCGATGAAACTGCTTGTGCTTTTTACACTACATGAGTCAGTGTTGAGGCTTGTCATAGTACCGTGAGCCATTTCTGTTGCATTACATCAGCACTTTGTCACTGAATCCTGTTTGCTGCTTCCACATGGAAAACACTTTGAATACTGTTGGGAGGGAGTGCTACAGACACCTGTGGTGAATCACTGCTCTGACCAGAACAAGGCAATAAAATGGATTTAATAACATCAAACGGCGGAGGTTCCCTTTTTTTGTTAGGGTAAATTTACCAGGTAATTTTGGCAAATCACTAAGAAAAAAATATGTGTGACATTTAACTGTGTTTTCATGATTACCTGAAATGTTTTTAATATTTTTGTGTTAAACTGATGCAATAAAACATGAGTGTTTGAGCCTCTACAGCTTTTGAGACATTAGCTGTCCCATGTTTTTTGACACGAGCAGTGTTCAGGGTAAAATGGTTCAGCTGATCAGTGAAAATGTCCCACTGTACTCAGCCAAAGCCCCTCTCATCCTTTCCTCTACCCACTAGTTGTATTTTTAAAACACTTTTGATGTCTGTCACATTTATCACTTCTATATCAACATGTTTCTTTCATCCTTTTTTTCAGGTAGTGTAATGTGAAAATGGAATGTAAGACATAGAATAAGAAATATATCAAAATATTTTTAAAATGGGGAACTTTAAAAATATCTAAAAAACTCAACTCAGAGGGTGGCCCACTTTACCTGAAATGAATCACCCATTTTATCTAATACATGAGGGTAAATTGGGCTGGTAATTAAAAATGTTTTTTCATACAAATTTGCTTAATTTAGAAAATTATCTGCATTTTTCTGGCAGAGGACAGCACAACATGGATTATGAATCAAAATGTCTAGATGTTCATTTGGTTCTTATTCACCTTATTATTGAAGAGTAAGTTTTAACAAGTCAGGTCACTCACCATGGAGTTTTCTGTGGCAAAATGAACCATCATCCTTGCAATCTCAGACGAATCACATCAAATGCTAAATGTTAAGTACTGTTTACTTTTAAAGACAGCTTTTAGCTAAGACAGTCAAACCTTAAATGGCCCATTTTACCTGGGTTATTACATGCCTTTCTTTTTCAATGAAAGTGTTTTGGTTCTGTTCAAATAAAATAAATTGCTTCTTAACAACACTTAAACTAATTAAGCTCTTTAGAAAACAATAATTTTCATAGTGGTAGTGGCAGCCTATCAGATCACCAATAAACTGAGAACTGTTAGCTTAGCAAAAAGACTGGTCTAAAAGAGCAGCTGAACAAATATATTGCCAAATCCTTATTTATAACTGTCTCTTTGAAATGAACAAGAACACTATGTTAAACATTCTGTGTATTAAAATAAATCTATTAGTCATTTCAGAGTTTCCTCTGTTTTCCACAGAGTCATCGTCACATGTATGTAATGCTACAAAATGCTAAGATGACCCCCTCAGAGAAGCCTACTAAACCACGTACTCCAGGGTCTGCCATGACTCATGCTGGACACAGTTCCCATTAAGCAGTGTGTCAGCTGTCTGGGAGTGGGTCGGTGTGGACTTCGAGGTGGGACAAGGGGAAGCATGGATATTACATTTCAAGTTCCAGAATAAAGCCCATTGCTCTACACCAAGCACCCAGTCTATAAATAAACCTCCAGTTGGAGTTCAGTTGAAGGGTCAGGACAGCTGAGGAAGTGGGCTGTCTCTGGTGTGTCTGAATACTCTTTTAAATCCTCTTTCCAGGCTAGAAACTAGAACAGCTTAGTTATAGAGGAGATACATTTTGTTTGATTTCTTTAGCGCCTGAAAGGCTCTTCATACTCCTTCTGCCAGGAACGATGGCTCTGCCTATAAACCCAGCGGACGAGCCCAGATTGTACCAGCAGACTCTACTCCAGGATGGCCTCTATGACCTGCTGGAGAACGATAAGCTGGTCGACTGTGTGCTGAAGATCAAAGACAAAGAGTTTCCCTGCCACCGGCTCGTTCTGTGTGCCTGCAGCTCATACTTCCGCTCCATCTTTCTTTCCGACCTGGACGAGAGCAAAAAGAGGGAAATTATCCTGGAGGATGTGGAGCCAGGTGTCATGGGGCTCATCGTGAAGTATCTGTACACCTCCAAGATCAATGTGACCGAGCAGAATGTCCAGGATATCTTTGCTGTCGCTAATATGTACCAGATCCCTTCAATTTTCACTGTATGTGTGTCTTTCTTACAAAAGCGCCTAAGCCTCAGCAACTGTCTGGCTATCTTCAGGCTTGGCTTGATGCTGGACTGTCCCAGATTGGCCATCTCTGCTCGAAACTATGCCTGCGAGCGCTTTCAGCTCATCTCCAGAGATGAAGAATTCCTCCAGCTGCTTCCCAGTGAGCTGGCAGCCATTTTATCAAATGACAATCTAAACGTAGAGACAGAAGAGGAGGTATTTGAAGCTTTGATGAACTGGGTGTCCCGGAACAAAGAGACCAGAGAGAAAGAGCTGCCGAATTTGTTGGACTGCATTCGTTTGCGTCTTGTCAATGAGGACTATCTGAGAGAAAAAGTGGAGAAACACAAACTTATCTCCTCTAACCCCGAGTTGCAGCAGAAACTCCAGCTGGTTAAGGATGCCCACGCTGGGAAAATGCCAGAAGTTAAAAAAAGAAAAAGCAAGGAGGAGGAGGATGGTGGAGCAGGGAATGATGGAGAGAGTGACGATAAAGATGATGAAGAGGGCCTTCTCCCAAGCATTCTGAATGATAATCTTCGATTTGGGATGTTTGTCAGAGACTTGATCCTGATGGTTAATGATGCTGGCGCTGTGGCCTACGACCCAACGGGGAACGACTGCTTTCTGGCATCACTTTCCACACAGATTCCCAAAAACCACGCCAGCCTGGTGACCAAGGAGAACCAGATCTTTGTGGCCGGAGGATTATTCTTTGATGAACAGAACAAGGATGATCCACTGTGCTCATACTTCCTGCAGGTAGGAGAACGTCAAGACAAAGTTTGTAGAAAGAAAAGAGAAGATGAAAAACTTCCAATTACATGCGGTACACATACAAATATAGTTCAGTGCAAATATTTTTCTACACTGTAGTTCTGTACACTGTAAACATTTACAAATGTTTGACTCCTGTGACCACAGTACGACCCGGTCAGTGCCGACTGGCTCGGCATGCCTCCCCTGCCTTCTCCCCGTTTTCTGTTTGGAATGGGCGAGGCTGAGAACTCCATCTTTGTTTTGGGAGGAAAGGAGCTGAAGGAGCAGGAGCACATGCTGGATTCAGTCTTGGTATACGACAGACAGTGAGTACAGCCTTGAGTTCATGTATGAAATTTTAGGGGAAAAGCACTCAGTTTGTCATCCTTAATAATTAACTACATAATGTGTTTTGTCATTCACAGATCCTTTAAATGGGGCGAGTCAGAGCCGATTCCATACCCAGTTTACGGCCATACAACATTATCTCATAATGACACTGTATACGTGATTGGAGGAAAGGGAGACAACAAGTGAGTACATGCTTCAAGCAAAATATTAATGTTCATATTAAAAGTGTGACCCTAAAAGGCTTCAGGATTTAAAGGAGGGTTTTCTTTATCTCAGAGGTCACTATTGTGAGTCTTTGTCCCTTTTGTAAAAAGGAGCTGTCTAAAGAAGATGTGTGCCTACGACGCCAAGCGTTTTGAATGGAAGGAGCTCGCGCCCATGAAGCACGCACGCTCCTTATGTGGAGCCACCGTTCATGAAAACAAAATATACGTGGCAGGAGGCGTCACTGACAACGGCCTGACAGACACTATGGAGGTGTATGATATCGCTACCAACAAGTGAGTTTCCTATATTTATATTTCTTTTACTTTATTTTTTAGTTTAGTTTGTTTCTAATTATCTGTTGTAAAGCACACAGTCAGTGTAAAGTTACAACACATCATAATAAATGTAATAAAACTGTGGCTAAATGGTTTATCTAACTGAACATTTTTCTGTGTGTGTGTTAACGCGGTGCAGGTGGTCAGACTTTGTGCCGTTTCCTCAGGAACGTAGCTCCCTGAATCTCGTGTCGTTGGCTGGTTCCCTCTACGCCGTTGGAGGTTTTGCCATGATGCCTATAGAGGACAGCGAAGAGGTTCTTCCTAAAGAGATGAACGACATCTGGAGGTAGATCGTAACAGACTTCTTAAAAAAAGTTATTTCTACTGTTAAATTGTCTTTGCACAACTGTAATCTTAATTATATTTAGTATTTACTCAATTGTGTTAGTATTTAAAATGTTACTCAGTGAACCCAACATAAGATGCCACCGTCCTGCTTCAGTTCATAGTGGATATATAATTACTTAAGTTTAAACGCAAATGAGGGAGATAGGAGCCCTGGGAAAAACAATGACGACTGTCTCTTAACCTCCTCAGGTATAATGAGATGGAGAAGAAGTGGAATGGGATCCTGAAAGAAATCAAGTACGCCTCAGGGGCTTCAGTTTTGGGGGTGCGACTGAATACCTTGCGTCTCACCAAGATGTAAAACTCCCTCCAGTCCCCGTTTATGAACATGAACCTGTTTAGTTCACAGTTGTTGTACCAGAGTCCAAAGAACGGTTCAGGGCCACAGACATCAATGTTCAGCTCAATGTGTTCATTGTTCTCTTCCGTTTTATTTTACGCATTTGATTTTTTTGTTGTAGCTTTTCTAATTATAACAAATTAATACTGTGGATTTGGTTTTTTGTTTCTTTTTGATCTATAATAATTTTATATATGTCTTTCTACAAGTTTAAATCTGATTCAGACTAAAACTACAGAGTCAGTAACCTAAAGACACCTGTTGCACTGTGTGGAATAAATCAAAATATTAAAGTGTCTAAATCCGACTGGAAAATATAAGCATTTCCCAACAGATGGCAGCAAAGTTGCCAAAAAAAAGCACTACTGTAATATAAAAAACAAAACACAAAGACACATCTGAATTTGCAATAATATATCTATACTGTTTAATATTGAAATGATTTCATTACGCTCTGTTGTGTTACAGACAGTAAACACTAGTCAATAATACAATAAAAGACAGAAAATACAGTCTAATGTTATTAGCACCTCTAGACACTACTGTCCTTGTACTGTTTTTAGTATTTTATCATAGCTGAACGTGACGACTACTGCCTACACATGGGCTTTGTACACCAGAGTTAACTAAGTTGTAGTGTTAACATTATAGAGAGTCAGCAAATAACAGTACACATTATGGTTTCTTTAACACCGCTGCAGTATGAGTAAGGGAAATGCAATGTGATGCGAATGTGAATAATACAGCTTTGAATAGACTATGGCATTGATGCTTATGGTTACCATCACATGTAGCTTCACTCAAAAACAGGGGAAAGCCACCATAAAACATATATTAAAAAAAAAAAAACAACAACTAAACTTTCTCATGCAAAAATGACACTTGTTTCCCACTTTTAGTTCATATGGAGCCCTCAAACTGCCAAAAGGTAGCAAAAGATTCATTTTAACTTGAATTGAGGAATATCACACACACACACACACACACACACACACACACACACACACACACACACACACACACACACACACACACACATAAAACTTTCAGTAAAACAAACACAAAGTTATTTAATTCAGTCAGGTATTCTGTGGTTTTCTCATTTTACTATTGCAGTTACTATTCGCCAAATCACGTGCTCGTTTTTCTTCACTCAGGCTTTTTGACCTACTGATGTTTCATTTTCCTCACCATGTGTTAAATTCTCCTAATGCATATATAATAAATATGGATGAGTATTTGTTAATGGCAGTGACTAATTTGAAATTCATGTAATACTTGTGGAGTAACTTAGAGCGCTTTGTGGCTAGCTTAGCTGAAAACAGTGCCCACAAGGATTGTTGGCTAGCTAGGCAGCTATCATGAAACTATGCCAGCCAGCATTACATACAGTAGTGTTAATCAATCTATTCTTTTGCCAACAGGTATTCAAAAACAAAGTTTCTTAGTAATAGTCAATCTACAGTTTGCCATTTGACATCACAACAGACCGCAAAAGACTATTTTTGTGCTAGCATTTAGACTGTTATGTTAGCTTTTCAAAGTTTAACCAAGTAAATTGAAGTTTTATAAAAAGTTTTAGATCTTGTCATTTTTTTCCACAATAGATGAATCCTTTGTCTATAAATGTAAACAAATTTGAGACAATTTCTTGTTCACAATTAGTGGAAATGTGTGCGGCATTAGTGAAAACCAGGAGGTAATTAGCTTCATCTCAATCAAAAAATTTAAGAACCCAACCAAATATAGACTGTTGGGACAGAAGTACTGGGCAACCTACACATTACACCTTGTGTGTGGTCAATTACTTTTGTCCATATTCGAGTGGTTTCGAACAAGTGAAACCTCTTAAAATCTCATTTGTATTGCACTAACAATGCTACTTTTTGGTATCATTAGATTTGTCAGTTTTGGGGCTCCATGTGTTTACCCAAACACTAACAGATTTAACAGAAAAGAAAATCAACTCTTTACTCAAGAACAAAAAGAAACACAATACTTTCTCTCCAATATCCATCATGAGTTTCAGTTTCTAAAATAAGACAGCAATATTTCCAACACTTTTCTTGAAGGTGAAGGCCACAGAATAAAATTCTTTTGGATACACACTTCATCATTAGCAGCTTTCAAAAGAAAAAAAAAAGAGAGAGAGAGACCTAACTTAGTAATCCCATGAGCACTCTCCGAAGTGCCACTCTCACAGTTTGCTATGTGGCAACCTTGGGTGCACTGCAGAATGCACAGTCACCGTGGTGTCTAGGCACCCACTTAATCACTGACAAACCTTCATTTAAGGACAAGGACAGGTCCACCTTTGCCTAATCTAATACAAGCCTTTGGCTGCTAGCCTTAGTAAATTAGAATTTGGCTAATCAAAATACATAGAGTCAATCTGCCTGGAATACAGGACTCCTGCACACTGTGCAACATTTCCCTTTTCATGTCTAACAATCGTAGCTTTACTGCCGTTTCACTGTAAAACACTTAAAGATAATAATAAAACAGCCTGTTTAATTCATTTTTCACAATTTAGGTAATATCTGGGATAATAAATGTCCATATCTGATACATTTCCTCTTTACAACTCATTGAAGTCTTGTTCTGATGTCACAGATGGGCTTTATCTTTGCAGCTGGATTGAAGGAAGACTAGTTCACAAAAACAAACAAAGGAGGATTAACAAGTCAATTTAGAGTTTTATACCCAAATTCCTCTGGTTACTGTGTCCTCCACTTTATACTATATTTGATACAATGTGCAAGTGTTATAAAAGAAATATATTCTTAGCACAAATACACTATTTTGAGCTTTAAATATCATCAAATCATTTCAAATATGAGCAGTATGATGAATTTTGATTTCCTATCCTATGCATGCTTGGAAGCCTTTATTTACAGCCGGTTTCTTGATCTGATTCCACAACAGGTACACTTTTGATGTCCCTTTTCTCTTTAAATTTCACTTCAGAGGACTGAACATTGCCAAGGACACATTTAGTCAATAACTGCATTTTGATAATTTCCCATTTTAAGGCAAGGAAGTATTTTAAGGAAAGGAAGGATCAAGGAAACTGCTACTATATCTGTATCTCCACTAGATTGAAGGATAAAGTGCACTAAAAGTTTTTCTCGTAATTGAATTTGGCAACTCCGTCCTTCCCTTATGTTTTCTCATGCAATGAAAAAGAATAGTCACATATTAAGTCCCTTCAACAGAGGCAAAGTGGAAACACCTAAGAGTAATTTCTCTTGATAATGGAAGTGAGCAAACCAGTCAGAAACCGCCTGCACTGATTGCGCCCTCAAGGAAGAGTCACGGATACTTGTTAAACAGTGGGACAGTATTAAAGAGACTGCCCAGAATGCAGAAACACCAGCAGATTGACGCATAACACAGAGTCATCCTCGGTGTGCCACGTGCCACACCACAAGCAAGTAAAGTTATTCAGGGAAACAAAACTAAGGTCAGTCTCTGGGCTGACACCTGTGCAACTTACTAACCACAAACTCAGACCAACACTGAACAAAAAACCCTTAAAAAAAACCTAAAAGGAATTTAATGCTGGAATTTACTTCAATTTATACATGTCTGCTACCCATTTTCACCTTGTATCTGGAAACACAAAACAAAAGTGCATAAATCAGTAGTATAAACTACTATACTTCCTCCTTTACTGTCAGCTACTGTCACTATCCATAACGCAAAAACATTCAAATCCCTCCATATGTAAGGCAAACACACAACCTGTAACCACGGTATCTCAATGTTGTCTCTTGGGCTAGTGCTTCTTAAAACAGGGAAGTGGGAAAAATCTCAATTTTGAGCTTTTACATGCTTCTTCGATGATAACGAGACACATACTATGAACATTAATGTACATCTAAGGGTTGGAGTGCAGTTTACCGAGTTGCCACAAGAGAGCAACAGCACTAAACAATCAGCCAACCAGATTAAATCTTAACTGGCATGTTTCATATATGTCTATATGTCTTATTATGTCTTTAGATTCTTCTGCACATTAATCGAGGAGTTTTATTCACTATATGGTCACGAATGACAATAAAGTTTCATTTGACTTTGACAGTGTTGGCCATTACCTCCTCACAGTGCTCCAAATGTCTCATTTTTAGCTCACTTCCAATCCTGGAGTTCACTGTAATCACAGCCAGACTATTGTTCAGTTACATTAAATTCAAGAACTCTACACTTTTAAATCATTTAAAGGGCAGTCTCAAACAGGACTCTGTACAAAAGCAGCAAACCAAAATACAAAACAGGTATCGGACACATGAAGAAAAACACAAAGTGTACCATTATTAAATTACGTCTGACGTGGCCCTAACGGTTTAACCGTGGAAATTGAAGAAATACATAGGGGGTGAGCTTAGACATAAGACTACATGAAGGTGCTTAATTTTTTTTTTTTAAATATAAAACAGCTTATTACATTTACAAAAGCATGTCCACAAATTCCAACTTTCCGTAGTACCAGCCAGGACACATTTTGGGGCACATTCAACTGACTCTCTGAATGTAAACATGAGGAATAAATCACAAGGAAGAAGCACATCTTAACAATATTTACAGGTTAATGCCATGCTACAGTTAGGCTATAAGTAGATAAAGTGAGCGGGAGCAGAATGATAGTGCGTATTCAGAGACCGATACGAATGCAAAATCGACTGAAGTGTCAAACAAGAGTTCTTATTTTAATTTTCAAATAGGAGTTACATGAAGTGATTGGCACCACTCTTAAATTGATTTGATATAAAACCGAGGATAGTGACACTCTCCCAGTCAGGAAAACCAAAAACTAGCCTGCTAACTTAACCTTTGGGGAAAACTGACAGTATTTTGACGCTTCCAGCACATCTAGGCGACGGCTTCCTAAAGGTTGACTAAATGATAAAAGACAAAGGTTCCGAAACTGCATTTTGGCATATGCTTTCTTTCTTGGGAATTGGTGACTACTGGAAGAAAACCAGAATGATTCTGGTACCGAAAGCCTCGTCACTTGCCTACAGATTCTGCATTTTCTGTGCAAATACTTTAACGAGCCACTTCTTTAGTTACACCCTGCTAGTTGTTGTTGGACCCCATTTGCCTTCAGAACCGCCTTAATTCTTCATGGCACAGATTCAACGTTGACATGACAGCATCACACAGTTGCTGGAGATTTGTTCGCTCTACATCCATGATATGAGTCTCTTGTTGCACCACACCCCAAACGTGTTCTATTGGACCTCTGTTAAGATATGGTGACTGTGGATTTGACTACAGTAAACTCAATGTCACGTTAAAGAAACCAGTCTGAGATCATTCGAACCAGCATGTTATTCTGCTGGAAGCAATGGACATGCTTAGGAGCAATACTCAGGTAGGGTGTGGTGTTTAAATAATGCTCAGTTCCTACTAAGGAGCCTAAAGTGTGCCAAGAAAATATCCACCATCCCATTACATCACCAGCACCAAAGGTAGAATGGATCCATGCTTTCATGTTCCTTATCCCTAATTCTTCCCTGCTATCCAAATGGCAAAGGTGAGCCCGTGTATCCAGTTTCCTGTTCTTAGCTGACAGGAGTGCCGCCCAGTGTGGTCTTCTGCTGCTAATATGTTAAAGATGCTCTTCTGCACAACTTGTTAGCAGCAAGTGCTTATTTGAGTGCTATCTGCTCGAATTGCTGCTCACTTGATATTTTTATGTTATAGTCTTTTTCAGACTGAAATACTATGACCAGTCCGTCTGAATCCAACAACCATACCATGTTCAAAGTCACTCAAATCAGCTTTGTGATGCTCAGTTTGAACTTGAGCATGTTGTCTTGACCATGTCTACATGCCATGTGACGGGCTGATTAGCTCTTTGCATGAATGATCAATTTACGGGTGTAGCT